AAAAAAAAAAAAAAAAAAAAAAAAAAAAAAAAAAAAAAAAGATCTGGCTACAAGAGGAACCCAATGATCTTCTCCTGATACAACAATGCCTCTGGTCAGGCAAAACGCTTTCTGGCTAGGACAATGGTCCTCAGCCTTGACTCCCAATTAGAATCACCTGGGGGAACTTTCTAGGTGATTCTATCCAGGTGGTTCCCAGCCCCCAAGACTGGACTTGGTCTGGAGCCCTGGGCATGGGGGTGTTTTCAAAGCTCCCCAGGGGTTCCAAGGGCAGCCAAGGTGTGAACTGCTCACAGATCTTCAGATACAAAGAATTTAAGGACATCACTCAAACTTCTTTTATGCCTATCAGAATATTTCCTGTTATTAAAAGAAAGTCATGGAAGTCTCCCAAATCTTAAGTGGGCATTTGCTTTAAGAAAGATGAGTTTATTCACTAAAGGAGAGTAAATTTTTCTATGATTAGCATTTTCCGACTTAGCCTTCATGCAAAGCTCTATCAAATATATGTCCATGTTTCAGATAACAGAAAAAATGGTACTGTTTCCATTACAGTATGGAACTATATTTACTGCCTGGAAACTAACAGAATATTATTTGAGAACCCTTAAATTTCTGGTTAGCGTGGTGACGACTGAATAAACTCTTACTCTGGGGAACCAACGAACTGCTGCCAGCAACCCAAAGCACATGTAATTACTGGTTCAGAGCAGTGCTCTGCCTTCTCGGTAAAAAGAAAAAAGGTCTACGGTAATGGAATATGCTAAGTGAATATTTGTACAACGGAAAATAATCTTATTTTAATAAAAGTTTTCATTCATTTGTAATGGTGTGAATCTCTCTAATAATATTACTTGAAATTAATGACAATATGGGTTCAGTTATTTTTTAGATAAACATTTAATGAACATACTCAGTATAAATTATTTACAATATTGAGGATGATCTGGCTAACAAAAACAAATTTACATATCAGACCCAAGTGTTATAGTTAGAAAACTGCTTCCGATGCAAATTCTCAAATAAATGGGGAGTTCATGTCAATTTCTTTCTTTCCTTTAAGACTAAGGTTAGAGAATAATATGAACAAATGTAAACAAGTTTGACACAGCCTTTTTCCTTCACACCACCTGCCATGGTCTGGATGTTTGCGTCCCCCCAAAATTCATATGTTGAAATTCTAACCCCTGAAGGTGATGGTATTAGGAGGTGGGGCCTGTGGGAGGTGATGAGGTCATGAGGGTGGAGCCTTCATGAATGGGATTAGTGCCCTTATAAAAGAGATCCCAGAGAGCTCCCTCTTCCCTTCCACCCCAGCACAGCAAGAAGTCTGCAAGCCGGAAGAGGGCCCTCACCCAACCAGGCCGGCCTGCGGAACTGTGAGAAATCAATGTCTGTTGTTTATAAGCCACCCTGTCTGTGGTGTTTTGTTATAGGAGCCCTAACAGGCTAAGCACCATCACTAACTTGGGTGGCCCTCCAACAGACTGGTTAAGGAGAGGGGACAGCCAGACCACCAGCACAGGGACTTCTGTCGGCAACGCAGTTAATGGTCTGTGACTCAAGGGTCAGAGACCACCAACCTGAAGTAGAATCACACTTTCATTACAGCACCCAAAGGTGACACGCCAGCCTTAAGGAAGAACAGCCTTCCAAATAATACAGCTATCAGACTGAAATCTCAGAAGCCACATCTTCCCACCCAGAGGGATGGTTTTAGCTAAATGAGAAATGCTGTCTTTCCAGGAAGGCTTCCCAGTGGCCAGCAGTGATGTCTGCTCCCACTGCCTTGTTTCAGAGCTCTTTGCCTTCAGGGACTCCGACTCCCTTAGCCCATCAGGTTTCTGTGTCTTTACCGTCTGTGTTCATCTTACAGGACCCTATGGGTGGGCAACCAGCACAATGCTCCCCCTGTCCCCATTCTGAAGCCCCTGACCCTCCGAATGGAGGGGACAGGCTCAAACAGAGGCTCTGTCCTTTGTTCCATCTCCGACACCATCGCCCTAGTCCAAACCCCTTCAAGGCTCCACTGGACAACGAAAGTCAAGAGCCTCCGAGGGGTCTCCTTGCTTCTTCTCTTCTTGCCCACCCACGCTCCTTCCCCAAAAGACATCCTCCACCCAGCTTTGCAATTAGAATAACATCCGAATCCCTACCATGGCCTCCAAGGCCCTTCATGGAACCGTTCCCTGGCTGTGTCCAACCTGGGCCATCCCTCCCACCACCTCTCACTCTGCCATGCGGGCCCTGTCGTGCCCTCTGAATACACTCAGTTCATCCCAGCACTGGAACTTTCATATTGGCTATTCCCTCTCCCTGGACACCGGACACACAAAATCTACACAAGGAGTTTCTTCCTGTGAGCCAAGTCCAGGCTGTGCAGAGTCCTTCCAGGGCCTTCCAGGCCATTCAGTCTAAAATGGCCCTAGGTTGACTCCTCTCTGCATGTCCTGTTGACCCGCACTGTCCCAGAGCCATTCTCTGCCCCTCTCCGCCCTTCTCTGGGCCCTGGAAGGCCAACCCCACCTATGGACTATATTGTTTGGGCTCCCCTGCTTCCTGGCTGCCAGCTGGGATCTGCCAATGGGATGAGAAAGCCAGGCCAAGTCAGGGTAGTTCCTTCCTGGCACTCCCCACTTCAGCATCTCAATTCCACACCTTCACGTCTGCAGCTCCTGCCAGGAGGCTCCTCCCAGGGTTCCAGCTACACTACCTTCTCCTCTTGATCCAACACCCCTTGTGACCCCCTCAGTCCTGCCCCAGTTAATCAGTTCTTCATTAGAACCTCTTGAACCTCCACACGTCCCTGTTAGGACCTGTTTGATAAGACCCAGCCCCGACCCTTCCTTCATCACTCTCCATCATTCTCCTGTTTTATTGTCTCCATTGCACTTATCACTATCTGCAATTACCTTGTTCACTTACATTCTTCTATTGTCTATCTCCCCCTCAACCACGAGAACATAGGCAGGCAGCTCATGGTGTTCATCAGTCTTTCCACTGGGCCTAAAACAGTGCCTGCAACAAGTAAGCATGCCATAAACAGCAAAAGAATAAATGAACGAATGAATGAATGCTAGCCCACTGTCTCGGCTCAAACTATCACCTCGGTAGTAAGACCTTCCCTGATCAGCTTATGTATAACAGCAATCTCCTTCCCCTCTCAGACCTCCACTCCCTCCTCCCCCAGCTTCCAACTCTTACTTTTTCCTACAGCACCATCACCTCATGACATATTTGATATTTATTTGTTTATTGCCTGTTGCCTCCAACAAAAATGTCAGCCCTGAAGGCAGGAATGCTGCCCTCAGAGCCTAGATCAGTGCCTGGCCCACAGCACAGTCTCAATACACATTTGTTCAAATGAATAGCTAGCCAAGTGGGCAAAATTTCATACAAAGCAATTTCAGGACTGTCTGCGTACTTACTGGGATGAATGTAAAACTATGAATTGCTAGACACTAAGCTAATAAGTGCAGTCTTATATGACCTGACCTTGCTCGATGAGAAAGACAGCCCAGGACCCGGAGAAAAGAAACTCATTAAAATGCCAGCTAGACCTCGGCCTCAGGAAGAGAAAAGGTTTTAGAGTAAAATGAGCCAGACCCTGTATTTTGACAATTGTTGCATTAGAAAGCATGCATGGAAACTTACCTAAGCATGCAGCCACTGTAAATCCTTTCTGAAAGTAGATGGGCATATAAATTATAAATAAATGGGATTAAGCACACCCTTCTCTGTTCTACAGTGGTGTTCTTGGCAGCAGCCTTCAACTACAGTTCATTGACAGTATATGCAGACCCAGAGCCAAGCATGGAAAGCATTGCTTTTTCTAACAGCTGCGCTCCTAATGGAGCATATCTCTCAAAGACAGGCTTCAGTCTGCAACGCCTACGGTGTCCAAATTTTCTTCTGAACACTAATTGCTGATTTGAAATAAATTCCTCCTCCCCACCACCACCACTACTGATTACTCATATCTGCCCCCTCACCCACCTAAGTGTCTGAACTGTGTGAATTTGAAAAACAAAATCAACTCCCCAGGTACTGAGTGTCCCTGGTTGGTGGCATGTCACCCCTTCAGGGAGCAAGATAAATATCTACTAAATATCATAAAGGCCTAGAAAATGGGCCCCTTCCCCCGAACACCATTCGACCAAAACTGGCCAACAGCAGGATAATGAGCAACCACGGATCCTCACCCAAACATTGGCTTTTCTTCCAATAGTGCAGATTGAAAATGCAGGGACCTCGTCCTATTTATGAACAGTGAGTCACGTCGCCACTCAGTATCTGCTTCCCTATGAATGAGGCGACCCCCTCCTCTAAGGAGTAAGGGCAGGGCAACGGTTAAAGCCCCGGGGTGACAGTACGAGCTCAGGCACTTTGGGGGGCTAATTCACCCCCTGATTGTCTCCTACCTCTTCTCCACCCTTCTCGCCCGAGTAAACACCCGTGGGCAGGGGCGTCGCGGGGAGGCGGTTACCCCCAGTCAAAGGCGAGCCCCTGACACCCCCCTGGGCGCGCTGCGAGGGCGGCCCGGCAGGTGCTGGGGACCCGGCACCCTCGGGGAGCGCGCCTCACCCCCGCTGGGACAAGAGGGGCCCGCGGCAGGGCGGCCGGGGGCGTCGCCGTGTCCCCGGGGGTCGCCTACCCCGCCCCGCCGGCGGCCCGGGCCAGCCGGGACTCGCGCCGCGACCCGCGCCGCCTCCTCCGGGCAACAAGTGTCCGCCCTCCGCCCGACGGCCCGCACGGCCCGGCCCTCACCCGGCACAGGCCGTCCACGAACACGCGCGGGTCCAGGTGGCAGGCGATGGTGGCGCTGGGCAGGTCCTGCAGGTCCACCTCCTCCATCTCGCAGTCGATGAAGCTCCAGTCGCCGCCGCCCTCGTCGGCCTCGGCCGCCCCCGAGAAAGGCGCGAAGGGCCGCAGCGTCACCCCCGGCCCCGCTCGCGCCTCGGCAGCCTCGGCCGCCGCCCCGACCCGGGGCCCGGCCACGCCGTCCTCCATCCCCGCGCCTGCCTTCGCGCGCCCCCGTGCGCCCCCGTCGGCTGCGCCGGGCTCGCGCGCAGGATCCCCGCGCTCTCCCGTCCGCCGACTCCGCGGTTAACTCCCTCCGCCTCGCGTCGCAGCCGGCGGCGGTCACCAGGGCTCCCGGAGACGCGGCCTCCGCGCGCCGGGCCCGCCTGTCACTGTTCCGCGCGGCGCCCCGCCCGCCCAGCCCCGAGGGCGGAGCTCTGGAGAATTTAGCCGTAGGCCCTTTAAGGCCGGCCCCCGGCTTTGTATTGTGTCCCGCCCCCCCAGGAGAGAAAGCCAATAAAGGAACGGGATTCTCCTCACGTGATCATCATTCTGCCGCCCTCAGCCTGAAGCCTCGGGGCGGCCATATTGGTTAGGGGCAAAGGCCTCTTTAGCCAGTTCCGCTCTTCTGACAGCTGATGCCAGCTGAATGGCGCCAGGCAGTGTTTTGGGCGCCGGAATGATAGCTGGAGAGGCAGCGCTTTTGTGGTTCCCATGAGGTGACGTTTTGAGGCACATAGGCAAACTTTTGGAGATTTAAGCGAGATACAGTTCTGGCTATGTCTGCGGGGCCATTGGCAGGTGGTTAGATGCTTACTGTATATTATTAGATATAGTCGCAAATAGGGAATTGAACTAGACCATAACAATACCTTACTTTTATATTTCAGCTTATTAGTCGTTATATCATTGTTCAAAATTTATATAATCAGAAGGAATTTTTTGAATGACCACTATGTACAATAGGAGACAACAAAAGAAGTAAAACATGGGTTCTTGCCTTTCACGTGTTTATAGAGGGAAAGCAGAGGTCCTTAAATAAGCATCTGTCTCTCCCTCGCTCTCTTCCTGCAAAATAGAATTCTTTCTCCGCAAAGGACAATGTGGTACAGTGAAAACTTGGGTCTGAATTTCAGCTTTGACGTTAATTACTTGGACGGTAACCTGAATCTCAGTTTCCTCATGTGAAGAATGAGGTCATATATGGTAAGAATCCAGTAAGGGCCCAATAAAAGGCAGTTCTGTTTATGTGCAGGGTTCTTTGGAAGATGTGAAATTAGACCTGTGTTTTCTCCTAAAGTAGGCTTAACGTCTAGTTAGGGACTGTGACTGATTATAATAAAAGTATATCAACTAACAGCTGAGATTAATTCAGAACATACCATGTGTTATGCTTGCTATTATGACAATCTCAGGGCAGTTCGTGCCCTCTGGGAGCTTAAATCCAGGGGGAGTAGTAATATGCATGCAGAGATAACTCATAAAATGGAATGTGATGGGAGGATCTGGAGAAATTGGAACGATCGTACATTGCTGGTGGGAATGTAAAACAGTACAGCTGTTTTGGAAAAACAGTTTAGCAGTTCCTCAACAAGTTAAACATAGAATTATCACATGACCCAGCAATTCCACTCCTAGGTACAAACCCAAGAGAAACGAAAACATATGTCCACACAAAAACGTATATATGGGTTCATAGCATCATTATTCATAGTAACCCAAAAGTGGAAATAACCCAAGTATTCATCAACTGATGAATGGGTGAACCAGATATATATCCATATGATGGGTTATTATTCAACCGTACAAAGGAATGAAGTACTGATACTTGCTGCAACATGGATGAACCTCAAAAACAGTATGCTAAGTGAAAGAAGCCAGTTGCAAAAGGCACATATTGTATGATTCCATTTATATGAACTGTCCAGAATAGGAAAATCTATAGAGACAGAAAGTAGATTAGTGGTTGCCAGTGGCTGGGAGAGGAGGGAAGGGGGAGTGACTGCCACAGGTGAAGAAAATGTTCAAAAATTGGATTGTGGTGATGTTTGCCCAACTCCGTGAATATACCAAAAATCACTGAATGGCACCTCAAAGGGTGAAATTTATGGTATGTGAATTATATCTCAATAAAGCTGGTATTTACAAAAAAGAGAATGTGATAAAGGCCACGAGGGGTTAGATGAAGTGTGGCAGAGTGGATGACATTGCAGAGTTGAAAACTCTCTGTGAACTCACTCAGACATTCTGGAAAGGGTAACAGAGGGGATGAGGCACCAGTTTTGGAAAAACAACGCCCAGCCACCCCGTTGCTGGGTGGGTCTGTGTTGTCATCGCCCTTAGGACAGTACGCTCTTTGAATCCTGGCTTACCCTAAGCCGCTTACATGCAGAGTGGGCCTGGTGGACAAAGCGTGCAAGAGCAAAAGAAAGTACTAGCAAAACAGAAACCTGCAATGCACGCAGAGCAGGCCATCACAGCTGGCTAGCCGCTGAGCTAAGAGAGGAAATCGCCTAAAGACGCACTTCTCAGATGATAGAGAGAGAGAAAAAGAACATATACCCATCATTAATCGAGGCATGACTGTAATAAACTTTGGAATGCAGTTAGTCATCACTAAGACACAGACAAAGTCACACATCCCTTCAGTGATTTTGGAATCTCACATTTATCTCTCTCCTCTCCCTCCCCAGACAGCAAAGTAAAGGTGGTGACATTTCTCAGTTGTCTATATGACTCTGATAATAATGCCGGTTTCATCTGGGTAGCTCTTAAATAGTTAATGAGTGTACACACATAAAATAGCTCACATAGTCCTCACAAACAGGTATTATCACTCCAGATTCTTAGATCTGAGGCTCAAAGAGATTGAGTGACCTTCCCACCAGCAAGCATGCAGCAAATGGCAAAGCAGGACACCATCCTGCTCTCGTTCCCGTATGCTTCTGCCCCCTGGGGCTACAGGAAACAGAAAAATGGGAAGGAACCAAAGAAAAATGGTAGAGAAAAGCAGAGGAGAGAGAAAATAAAGCAGAGGAAACAGAGAGGTGAGAGAGAGGTAAGGAGATGGAGAGCAGAAGGTAGGAGGTTCTTGAGGTTCAAAGTGATGGTCCTAAGGAAATGCTGAATCTCCCCAGCACAGCCCGCTGTGCAGGGCACACTCTCAGATCCTCAGGGCCAGCGCTCAGCATGATGCTTGAAAGAGACAGAGAGCTCTCAAAATACCGGAGCAAAATGATGGAAGCTCTCAATAAATAGGATTAGTGTCATACCTTCCATATCTGAATGCTCAAGGTTCTGGCCCTATTCCAGGTGACAAATTTAGTACTAACATGTCAGCTTCCTCTTTCCACTTAGAAAATAAAACTTTATAGTAACTTCCATCTTTGTCAGGCCTTATAAGTTTAAGAAAGGCAGATGCTGTGCCTTATGCCCTCACTGACACTAACAATGAACACCAACAGTCAATGGACTCTCCCAAGGAGGAAAAAACAGAGAAAATGTGAGCTGTCACCAGCGCAGGCAGAAACCAAGCAAAACATACTGTTTACATACGATTGCAGACATTTCTGAGGTGAAATCAATTAAACTTGGGGGTAATCTTTTAAGATTACCATAGCACATGTGCAGAATTTCTGGGGAATCGTTAACTGTCCCTCGTTTTCCAGCTGTGGCGAGGGAATCTAAGATCTGTCCCTGCATCCAGCTTCGGCATCTGTCTAACTGGAGAGCTTTTCCTCCTCATCGGTTCGCAGGAGCAGATTTGATCCAAATCTCAGATACCCAGAAGGGAAAGGAACCAACATAGATAAAGAACTGCTCTCAGTAATTCTGTGAATTCTGATTCTGAAATTGGGGAAGAGGTACAAATTTTAATTAATATATCCTACCACCTCCCATTCATTTTCCTCCCCTTACACTTCTTCATGTTAGCCATTTCCAAATATAAAAGGAGAAGAGGCACTAAAAAGCCACGTTTGGTTATTTTCGTTCTTAGCACCTGTTTCTTACATCGGATGCAGCCCAGTTATGGAAACATGCCTGTGCGCAGATAAACTAGCTTATTCATTTGCCAGGTGGGAAAGTTTCACTGTACGATGCTTTCAATTGCTTCCCATTTTGTTCTGGAAATTGAAGGGGGCTGTGTGCAATAGGCACTTGCTGAATGCTTATTAAATGAACCATTTCTGCACATTCTGGGAAATTATAGACATTTAAAAATTTTATTTAAGATAGAAGCCAAATAGCTGACTTTGAGTGTTTGCTTTCACAAAGAATGGACTGTTCCAAAAACTGCTCGAACGGATAGACCCCCTTAAATAACTCAATCAAAGTTTCTATTTTGTTACCTTCTGTAAAATGAATAAAAATATATGCTATTTTGTTGTTGTTTTGGTTTGTTTGAGAAAAGAACTGTTTTCCTTACTCAAGTTTCATTCTTAAAATCCACTCTTAAAATCTCTGTTATTTTTTATGATCTTCTGATGCTTTTTAAGTCAGAAAGCCCAAGTTATAAATTAGGTGTTGGGGGAAATATTGGAATTTGGTTGCTTTGCCTTTCCAAGTATAGAAAGAATGTTCACTGACTTTTACATTACCCTAAGCTCTCTTTCAAGGTTGCTAAGACTTGTGTGGCTTTTATGTGAGTTAAGATTCTTTTGGTTGCAAGTAACCTAAACCTCTGGAACCAGTTTAAACAAGAGGGAATTTAAATTAAGGATGTAGGGCGTCCCATGGTAGCCAAATGCAGGAATGTGGCCAGACCCTGGGAAGGTCCTAGAAACTGGACCTCAATGGCTATCCAGAAGGCAGGTTGTCATTTTGGGCCATCTTGGCACTCTCAGAGATAGGGGATGGGCACATAAGCAAATGGGTGTCCACTTCTGAAAGTTCGCAGCCCATGCATTTTCAGGGAGCTCTCGTTGATCAAAGTGTGTCCCTTGGTTTTGAGCCAAATTGTCACTCCTGTCATAGTATCTCACGATCTCCTGTATCACTCCAGAATCCAGGTAGATCTGGTCTAAATTCCGGTCCTGTCCTTTATTATCTCTGTGGCCTTGGGGAAGTCACTTGATCTCTTTGAGTCTCCAAATCCTCATGTATAGAAAGGTGATGTAAATAGCTTCCTTTCAAAAGTATTTCGAGGACTAGAAACCATGTCCGACCTATGCCCATCACAGAGGAGGGGCTCAGAGCAGAAGGATTATAATTCTACTCTCGGTCCTGCATGTCCCACTTGGAGACTCCCTTCGCTTCTATGTTAAAGTCCTTTAACAATGGGGTAACAGGTAAATAGGTCTTCCCCTCTGGCCAGCTTCTAGGGAATGAATACCAGGGCAGGATCTGGTCTACGGACTGGTTAGATATTGTGC